TCCCCCCCCCACCACCTCCCCCCCGCCACCCCCGTCCGTCTCCACTCGCCTTGCCACTCACATCCATCTCTCTCTCTATCCTCCAGACTTCAAACATGGCTTCCATCCCCAGTTTGGCTCCATTGGCTCCAACGCCGCCGGTACGTCCTCCTCTCCCCCCTCCCGTCCCCTCGCCTCGCTACCCCCCTTTGCGCGTGTTCCCAACGGCTCTGACCAACGGGCGCGCCCGCCACTCCCCCCTTCCCCTCCCCCCCCTCCTCTTCCCACCAATACCTTCCCCAACCCCCTCTTCCCACTTGCGCATTCGCTACCCCCCCCACCCCATTCCCCCCGCCCCGTTCCGCGCCCCACTCACCTGGTGTTCCACAAATTTTGCTGCGACCATGGGCAACACTCGGTTTTGGCTTTGGCTTTGTTCGCGCGCCATGCCACCGCCCGGCGCCATGCCACCGCCCGGCGCCATGTCACCTCACCGCCCCCGGGGCCATTTGTTGAATAATAGGCGTGCTTGACAACGGCAAGAACGCGTCGCACTACACCTACGGTGTGCGCAAGCTCAACGTGACCACCAAGGCCGCCAACGGCGTCAAGTTCACCACCGAGGGTGAGCAGGATGATGCTGGCAAGATCGACGCCTCGGTCGCCGCCACCATGGACTGCAAGAAGATGGGCCTGACCTTTACCGAGAAGTGGTCGTCGTCGAACGCCATCGACATCAAGGCTGTTGCCAAGAACGTCGGCACTGACGGCGTCAAGGTCACCGTCAAGGGCAAGTTCGACGAGGGCGCCAAGGCCCCGATCTCCGGCTCGGTTGATGCCTCGTTCGCCAACGACCTCGTTGCTGGCTCGCTCGAGATCAAGGCCGACTCGGGTGCCCAGTACTGCGCCTCGGAGGTGAACGGCAACGTGTCGCTCGGCCAGTCCGGCTTTGTCGGTGGCGTCAAGGGTGGCTACTCGCTCGCCAACGGCGCCAAGCCCGTCGACGTCAAGCTCGGCTACGCCACCAACGACTTCCAGGCCACCTTCCTCCTCAACAAGAACTTTACCGAGTTTGGCGTCAACTACCACCAGGCCGTCAACGACAAGCTTGCTGTCGCTGCCCAGATCGACCTCAAGGATGCCCCCAAGAAGGACGCCGCCGCCGCCGCCGGTGCCTCCTCGGTCCCCAAGATCGAGGTCGGTGCCGTCTACAAGTGCTGCAAGGGCACCACCTACCGCGTCAAGGTTGACTCGGACGGCAACCTCGGCACCGTCTACGGCCAGGACATCTCCGACAACATCTCCGTCGCCTTTGCCTTTGGCCTCGACCTCGGCCAGGCCCTCAACTCGGGCGCCGCGGGCAAGGCCGGCTTCTCGCTCAACTTTAACGCCTAAGCGAAGCTGTCAATGCCTCCGTCCCCGTCCTCCTCCCTCGTCCTCCTTTCCCGCTCTCCCCCGCTCTTTAGGGCGCTTCCTGTTCATCGTCACTCATTGAACGCTTCCGTGTCGGACTCTACTTGCCCGCCCCGGCGCACGCTCCTCTTCCAGCACTTCGTCAAGCAGCTGCCGCACCGGCGTGAGCGGCGAGAAAATCAGAGAGTCTGTGTCGCTCTCGTCGTTGTCGCTCCTGCCGCCCAGCCGTCGTCCGCCGCCCAGCGGAGTGACAAGCATGCTCGCTTCCATCTCCGCCCGTGCAGGCAGCTCGCCGGCTCGCAGCGCCTCCCAAAGATCTGGCAGCCGTGCATCTGTGGCAGCAGCCTCGGCTGCCGCAGCCTCGGCCAGCAGAGCCTCATAGTTTGCATACGCCTCGGTCTGCAGCGCCTCGAGATCGTCGAGGAGCCGGTCCGCGCGCCCGCGCCCGATCGACACGCCCGCCGCCGCTGCCGCCTCCTCTGCACCCACAATGACGTTGAGCACGTGCTCGGTCCGCACGTGATGCGCGGCGCCGTAGTAGCCGAGCAGTGCCCGCAGCGTCCGCACCTCGGCACGCATCATCTCTTCCGAGTACCGCGCTCCAGCCAGAACCGCGGCCACCGTCCGCGCTCCGGCCCGCTTGTCGCGGGCAAACGGCGGGAGCGCGTCCAGCACCTCGCGCGTCGTCGGCCGCTCCACCCTCTCCGGTGCCGCAAACGCCGGCTTGTCGCGCGAGACCGCGGTGTGGACCTCGAGCGTCATCGGGACAATCATGCCGAGCGAGAGCAACGAGTGGCTCACCTCGCCAAGTTGCTGCTCCAGCCGCGCCACCGCGTCCAGCACCCGCGACTCGGTCGACGGCAGCGCCACCATTGGGAGCACCGTCCCAAGGTGATTACGCGCCTCCAGGACCGACGTGTGCAGTGCCGCGACCTGGGCCTCCAGCTGCGCCAGCTGGCCGACATGCAGCGGCGCGTCGCCGCTCGCCTCCGCCATTGCGCTCACGCCCTCGGCAACCGCCACCAGCGACACTCCGCTGTTCACCACAAGCTCGCTCCCCGCCGCCGCCGACCGCGCCTCCTCGGCCTCGCTCGGCGCCGTCGTCGTAAACGGCGGCCGCTGCCACGGCTTAATGAACGGGTTGAGCGTCCGTAGCGGAACGTGCGCCGCACGCACAGGCTCGATCTGCCCGGCTCCCTTGGTGCCGAGCGCAGACCGCATTGCACGCACCGTCCCCAACGGCAGCCGCACCTCGGCCATGTCCGGCTCGCCAGTCGTCCCCTCCAGCACGCCATCGAGCGTTGTCGCCACACTCGCCACCGCTCCTGCCAGCGATGTATACGCCAGCTCGTGGCTCTCCATCCCCCGCGAGAGCTCCACCACCTGCCGCTCCAGCTGGATGACCTGCGCCTTGAGAAACGCCACCCGCCGCCGATCCAGCGGCTCGTCCCTCGCCTCGTCCACAAGCTGCTCGTGCAGCCGTTTCAGCTCGGCATACTCGACTTTGATCATCTCCAGCTCGCTTCCTCCTCTCTCCGCCACCCTCCTTCGTCTGCTCGCTCCTCGGCTCCGCACTGCACCCGGATCGGCCACCACTCTGCTGGCCCCAGCCTCGCCGCCATCATCCAGCTCATCGGCCAGCTTGGGGTTCCGAGCCAGAACGATCCGCTCCACAAAATGATGCATCGCCGCCCGCGAGCCCATGACCTTGCCTGCCACAGCCGCCGCCGCCTCGCGCACAGCCTCGCGATCCAGATCAGGCTGCTCCCACTGGACGAGCGCAGCCGCCGCCACAGACATAAAGGCCCGGCGGTAGGCACCCTCGCGCTTGGCACGAGCCTCGACATCGAGCCGTGACACCTCGGCCCGTCGATCGCCCACCCGCCGGGCAACCAGCTCTTCCAGAGCACGTGCCGCTGCGGCGAGCCGACTGCCGTGGCTTTCCCCAGGCGGCGGCGGGAAGAGGCCGTCGACCGACACGGGCACCACCAGCGCAGGCACCACCAGCTCCACCACAGGAAAGCCAAGCTCTAGGAATTCAGCATCAGTCATGGCCCGTCCACTCAGCACTGGTACCCTCCTCACGAGACCAAGGACACGCAACCTTCGCGAGCTGCTTGCCATGACTCCCTTGACCGCTCCTCCTGCTCCTGCTCCTGCCCCAACACGCCGGCTCTTCCTCCCTTCAGCAAAAGGCCGTCAAGTGGAGGTGGCTAAAATAGCCGAATACTGGCGTCTGATCAAGCCGCCGCGGTCAGGCCCCCACCCCTCCCCCCTCCCCCCCCCTCGCCCCACTCCCCGAGACAGTGATAACCACCCCAACAACGTCCACCCAACCCCCACCACTTTACCCGAACTACCCCCTCACCCCTCACCCCACCCACCCACCAAGCCCTTCATTTCCCTCGCCATCTCCCACAACTCCTTGGCCTCGCTGGTCCCGTCACTGGCTGGCGAGCTGAGCTCTCGGTAGATTCCACCAACCGCTCCACCGGCCCACCCACCCCCACCGGCCCACCCACCCCCAACCGCCCAACCCTACCCAACCCCGCTCAGTCAACCATGGCCAGCAGCGTCCACGAGTTTGTGTTTGACTCGGAAAGCTGTCTCCGGTCGCTGTCGGGACGGATCTTCTTCAGAGCTCTGCCTCCTAGCCTGGCAGGTCTGCAGGACGCTGTCCAGGCTCGAGGTGGGCGAGTCTCCTCCTTCTTGGGTGACTGCTCACTGGTGGTCGTGCCCTCACTCTCTGAGCTCCGTCGAGTCGCTGACCTTGTTGCTCGTGAAGAGACTGGCCAGGACATTGATGACGCAGAGCTGCAGCCGCCGCGGAGGGCCCGCAAGTCCTCGCGGTCAAAGTCTGGGCCCATTCGCCAGGACGACAAGGAGTTTGCCCGAAAGCTCCGCCGCATGCGCAAGGCCCGCGTCACCTCGTACTCGCGGCTCCGCAAATGGATCGACTCGCTGCCGCCACTGCCGGCGCAGCAGAGCTCGACCGGCCCAATCGCGCGCTCGAATGCCCGTGGCTACGGCCGCCTCGCCGCGCGCCCCGCCGTGGCGGGCGGACTGGTCATTGCTGCTTCGACCGCCTCGCGGTCGCGCATCTTCCAGAAGCTGCCGTTTGTGGCGTCGACGTCCCTGATCGCGCCGCGGACCGGCGCCCGCAAGCCGACCGTCCCCACCCGCTCGCGTATGGGCGGAATCACGGTCTCGCGCCGCGCTGGCGAGGTCGCCAAGTCGGTCACCGCGCGCCTCAACAATATGTCGGCTACCCGCCGCGCCGCCCGCATCTCGCGTGCCTCCCTCTCCCGGACCCCGCAACTGCCTGCGGTGCTGGTCGAGGATCCCGATGGCGAGTTTGAGCCGTTCTACAAGGTCTTTGCCTGGGACGCAGACGCACGCGCCTTTGCTACCCCGCGCCTCTACCTCGACGACGCCCATCTCTCCACCGCTGGCTCGCTCTTTGTCCCGGGCACCACCCCGCACTACATTCCCTCGCCCAAGCCCCCGCCGCCGCGTGATAACGAGTCGTCAGACACCGAGGAGCTGCTCATGGGCACCGCCGCCGCCGCCACCGCCAAGAAGAAGAAGAAGAGAAGCGACCGGCGCCCGCACAACAAGCGCAAGCACTCGTCCAAGCCGCACAAGGCCCGCGCCCCGCGCCCGGGCACCTGCGAGTGCTGCAACGTCCACTACGATGACTACGATGCCCACATCACCTCTGACAAGCACAGGCGCTACGCGCTCAACCCGGACAACTACGCCGACCTCGACAATCTGCTCAACCGCGTCGCCGAATCGGTCCGCCAGTCGCAGCTCGACGACACCGGCTCGGTCTCGCCGCCGGTTCGTGATGTCGTCGTGGCCGCCGACTCTGCCGCACCTGCCACGGTCGTCGTCCATGCTGATGGTGACGGCGATGATGACGGCGATGACGACGACGCCGCCGACGAGTCGACACAACCTGCGCCGCCTTCGCCGGCCCTCCTGGCTCCTGCCGCTGAGGCAGTGGTCAACCTCTCTCTCCCCTCGCCGTCGCAGTCAACACCGCGTGAGCCGCAGCTCGACGTGCCTGCGTTTGTCACGCCGCAAACGCGACCGATCCCACCGGCCGTTGCCCCGCTCCTCGCCCGCCCGACTCCGCGCTCGCGCTACATCGACGTCGACGCCGCCAATGCCTCGCTCGTCTCGCAGCTGGCAGCCATCGACGACTCGGACTCGGACGACGACTCGGACAACGACTCGGACGACAACGACGGCAAGGCCTTGCTTGGCCAGGCTGGCCTCCGCGCCATGCCAATGGCGCCCGGTCACGCCAGAATGCGCCGCCGCTCCGGCTCGGCCGCCTCCTCCGCCCTCGCGCCCAACACCGCCATCCGCGGCTTTGGCAACCTGGCGTCGCCGCCCGAGAGCGCAGACTCGTCCGCCTCCTCGCCGCAGTCTGGCTCCGCGCAGCCGGCCCAAAAGACCAACTCGCTTGCCCAGCTTCTCTCCATGATGGAGACTAAGCCGAGCGCGCAGGTGGCCATCGCGCCGTCGCGGGTCCTCCGCGGCGCCACCGCCTCGGGCACGCGGCCGTCCCGGAGGCTGACCGCCAAGCCTCCGCCGCGCCCCGCGGTGGCACCGGTGGCCAAGCCTCCGCCGGCCGCCTCCAAGCCGCTGCCCAAGCCGGTCGGCTCGTCGATCTCGTCGTCGCCGACCAAGTCTGGCTCGTCGCGCTCGTCGCAGCGCATGGCCGCGTACGGCTTCCTCGACTCGCCGACATCGCCATCGCGCAGGCGGCTGGTCGACGCCGGTGCTATCCACGCCCACGCCGCCCGCGTCCGCGCTCTCCAGACCTCCACCACCGTTCCAGTCGAGAGCTCGGACAAGACCTTTAGCGACGAGCGCGTCGACTTGGTCGGTGTCAAGGTCGCTCCGCGGCCACGCCCGATCCCGCTCAACTCGCCGCTCAAGACTACCACCCGCCTGCCGACCAAGCTCCGCAGAGCAAGCGCGCGGAGCAGGCGCGACATTGCCGCCCACACCCAGCTGCCACCCACCATCCGCGCCCCGGTCGCCCGCGAGCTCAATCCCAACACCGACCTCGTCGCCACTGCCAGCCCGTCGCACCGCCATCGCGCCGCCACCCACTCGCGTCTCTCCCGCCCGCAGCTCAAGCGCCGCCGTCGGCCCGAGTCAGGCGGCTCAGTCTCGGACCGCATCGCCAAGCGCCGCAAGCCACTCGGCACCGTTCCACCCTCGTTTTCCTCCTCGCCACAGGACTTTGTGGAGGAGCCAGCCGCCCGCCCCCAGCGGCCGGCCGCGGCTCTCCACCGCCCGCGACCGATTGTCGGCTCCAACGTCAAGACCGCACCGGCCATCGAACCCGAGTTTACCGTTACCTTTAACGCCGACGAGCTGGTCTAGCTGGCGTCGCCGAGTCGTAAATCCGAGCCATGAACGGCGCAAACACGGCCCGATGCGCCTGCCGCAGCCACGGCACGTACGCGTTGAGCACCGTCACGTGGACAAACGCTACATACTTGACTCCCCACACAAACCACGCTGCCGCAGACGCCGGCGGCAGTGCAAGCGTCTCAAGAATCCACCCTGGCCAGAAGACCCGGAGTGCGAGCGCAAACACTACAGGATCAAACGGCAGCTCGTCGATGCCCACCATGGCATCAAGCGTCCGCGCCACAAGCGCACGCGACGACATGTCCGGCGCCAGCCGTCCCACGTACATACCCGAGCATCTCCCTGCGAGCCCGCCCGCATAGCTCGGCGGCACAAGGTCCGCGTCGATACCCATCAGGTGGCCCACATATCGCCAAAACGTCCACAGCGCGTCTTTGTCAGTCTGCGGCATCCACGCGCCCATCGTTGCGCTCGACTCGACCGCCACCTGGCAAAACAGGACCAGTGTGGCTGCGCTCGTAGCCTGGTTGATCGGCACATCGCCTCGCTCTTGCCACGCCGCCGATCGTGCCACCATGCGCCGCGCTCGGCCATGAACAAGCCGGATCCGCAACGCCGCATCCGCCGCACGCGACGGCCGCTTCCCGTCGATCTTCGCGTACATCAGGTCCTGGATGAATGACCCGGTATCAAGCGCCCGCTTTGCTGCACGATCAAGCGGCCCAGTCAGCGCCCCGGTCGCCGCCAGCACCGCGGCGTCTTCCGGGAAGAGAAACGACTCGAGGAGGCTCACAAGGAGGCCTAGTCCCTGAAACCCGGCGTTCACAATGTACACCTCCTGACCAGCGTGCAACATCTCGGGAGTCGCCCAGGCTGGAAGGCCAAGGCCCGGCGCCGCAAGCGCATGCAGTGCCTCGGCCGCCTCGGCATCGACGTACTCGGCCTCGGCCAGCGCTGCCGCCGTGACTACCGGCTCCTCGCTGCGCATCAGCGCGGCAACAAGGGCAGGAAAGTGGGCGACAAGTGCATCAGCCGGTGGATCACCAGTTTGGAGCGCGGCAGCCACTCGCTCGGGCGGCGGAATGGCGTGCTCTGGCTGAGGGGACAAAGCCGGGATGACGCCGCCATGTCGCACTCGCGCCCGGGACGCGATCCAAGGACCCACTCCGACAGCCAGCACCAAGAGCCAGTACACTCCGCCAGCAAGCACGCCCCATGCCACTGTTGCTCTCCACGACTCGATACCGGTCACACATGCCAGCGCTGTCCAAATCGTCCACCACAGCCCGCAGCTTGCAGCCAAATGAGGTGCCACACCAGGAACCAGTGGCGCCAGAGCCCAGACATGACGCACGCGCTCCATCACAAACTGCAGAGCCACACAGCCAGGGAGAGAGAGAAGGATGCAAAGAGCCCAGTTTGCTATTCTGGGTGGAGTACCCGAGTACCCGAACCCGAATCTCGTGTCTGCCTCTACCTCTCCCACCACTGTCCCGCCCTTCCCTCGCGTCTCTCTCGTACCCTCTCCCTCCCTTTGATCGATCACCCGTCTGATCGATCACCCGCCTGATCGATCACCCTCCCCCGCCCCTTCACACCGCAACGCACCGCACACACACCTCACTCACAGCACCAGGACGACGAGCGCGAGTCGAAGCGTCAAGCTCCCGGGCGTCCCGTTCCAACAGCGGTACAGACAAGCATCGAGTGTCATCCATAGTTTGCTCTCTTCCAACCCGGCTGCTTATACTGTCGACGTAGGCGCACTCTCGGCAACTCTCGTCGCCTCGCAAGGCCTACCACCTTTGTCTGGCTCTGTTGAGGCCGTGACGAACGCTGGCACGGGTGCTACTGCTGCTACTGCTACTGGTGATTTAGGGTCGGACGACAGCGAGTGTGTGGCTACAAGCTTGGCTTCTGGAAGATCATCGTCGACAAGCTCTTGCTGCACTCTGCTGTGAGCCAACACTATGGTCGTCTTCTCGCCCTTTGCTGCCCTCCGCATCGACGTGGTGAGCCATGGCCCATCAGCTCGGGGCTCGCGTGGTCAACAACATGGCTCTCGGGGTCGAGGGCGGGGTCGGGGGCCGGCTCGCGGCTCGGCTGCTCCTCGCCCGCCGCAGCCAAAGAAGCTCGACGTGCTCAAGGTCCGCAGAGTCGTCTCCATGATCCTCTCGTCCAACGCCACCTTTGCATCGGTCCTCGCCCAGGCTGCCAGGGTCCCAGCGCCACACGGTCGTGGCAGCGGGCCGTTTCATCTCAACCTGCGCAAGGCTCCACGCAAGGCTGCGCTCGCTTCGTTTGTCCTCCCACTGCAGACTAGCGCTGCCGCCGTCGACGTCGCCGCCAAGGCGCTCAACGGGACGCCAATGGCAGTCGCTGGCTCGCGCGAGCCTCTGCTTCTTCGGGTAACGGTCGACCCGTCGCTTGGCCCCGGGCATCGTCTCTTCGATTCGCCTGCAAGCCCGCTGCGCAAGGCGCTTGCCGCGCCGGGCGCGCAGCACACCACCGTACGCATGATCGGCGTGCCCGGCGGTGCGTGCACCACCCTCACCCAGTACCTGCAAGCAACACTGGCGCCAGCCAGCATGGCTGTCGACGCCATCTCGGACATCTCAGTCACCAGTCGCGGAACCGTTCACGAGGCTACCGCTGTCGTCTCGCTCACCTTTTCCTCGTCCGATGCCCTCGCTGCTGCGCTCCGCACTCTCGCCGGCCACGTCATCTTCCTCTCGCCAACCTCCAAGGAGCCGATCCGCTACCGGCTCAAGCTTGGTGCCGTGCCGTCCGTTGACAAGCCGTCGCCATCGCCGGCGGTTCCCGACCCGGCGTCCAACCTCGGCGTCTTTGAGCAGCAGGTGCCTGCCGCTCCGGGCCCGACCACCACCCGCTCCGCCTCGCCCGAGTCGGACCCGTCCATCCACTCGAACCACAACTCGGGCTCGGACCACAACGTGTTGCCGGACGCTGTCACGGCCTCGGCCTCGGCCTCGGACGCCGGCGCCTTGGCGCACACCCACGGTGCATCAGACGCTACCGCCCCGGGCACCGTTCCACCGTCGCGCTCGCCGTCGTCGGTCCCCTCGCGCGAATTTGTTCGCTCCAAGTCGCTCTCGCGCTCGCTCGTCCCCGCCCTTTTGCCGTCCCACTCGAGCTCGCCCGCCCTGCTTGTCGCCCCCGCGCCCATGCCCTCTGCCCTCGCCACCACCCTCGCTACCGTCTACGCCAACCGCGCCACCGTCCGTGCCGGTGACGCTGTCTTTGCCCCGTCGCCGCACTCGTCGCGCCGGAAGAACCCCGACGTCCCGCGTCGCACCCGCTCTCGCTCGCGCTCTCGCTCGCGATCCCACTCGCCGCCGCAAAAGACCCCGCCGTCGCGCTCGCGCAAGTCTCGCCGCAGCCAGCGGTGACTGACGCTGGCCATCCTGCGCGCGTAAAAACGAGCGCACGAGTGTGGCGAAAGTTGGCAAGTGGTGCACACTGCGGCCGAAAAAGGTCGCAGTTTGGGAGGGCACACACCACAGCCGCGGACAAGGGCATAGACCTCCCACGGTGTGTACCACTTGTCTCGCACCGAAAGCCTACCTCCACCTCACAACAGCACCTTTCTCACAAGTACGAGACTTGTATAACTGCGTGCAAGGCCCAGCTGACGTTGGTGGTGCATGCCTACACCGTCGACGCCACCCGCCCCACCGCGTCCGTCTGTCCTCGGCGCCGGCCCTGCTGCCCATTCGCCGAGCCACTCCGGCCGCCGCACCCTCCTTCCCTCCTTTGCCGCCCACTCTCCACACCGGCGTATGAGTTCATCTGGGACGGCCCAGCCGGGGGCGGCAGGCTCGGGCTCAGGGGCGACGCGCGCGCCCACCTCGACCTCGTCTTCGACTCCGGCGGCTGCGCAGCCGCCGGTCTCCACCATCACCCGCTTCTTCGGCGCCACCACCCGCTCGCCGGTCCACCCTATCGTTCGCCGCATGGCTTCTCCCCACAATACGCCCGCAGCAGGTGAAGAGGAGGCTGCCCAGCCCAGCCCGCCGAGCTCGGCTCGCAAGAACCTGGACGGCACCCTCCGCGCCGCTGCCTCGACTGCTGCTGACGCCGATGCCGACGACGACGACATGGCCGACGTCTCGTTCCACGAACTGTCCAAAGTCCTCAACCTCGCAGTGAGCGAAACCGAGGGCCGGGCCAAAGTCGATGCTCCGGAGCCGCCGCGGCCGGCACCGTCGGCCCGGCTTGCCTCGGTCTGGCTCTCGTCACGGACCTCGGCCTCGCCTACGCCGCTCAACAGCTCACCAGCCGAAATGTCGCGGACCCGATCGTCGTCGGCGGGGACCGCCGAGTGCCGCTCGGCGCTCGGCTCGTCGCAGGGTGAGCCGGCCGCAGGCTCGGCACGGACCAAGATTTTCGAGCTCCTCGGCCGTATCCGCACCAACCTCTCCCGCGGTGCCGAGTCGAGCCCGCCGGGCTCGCCTGCTGCGAGCGCCAAGCTCGCCCAGCCGCCGCCGACTGTCGTCGCCGCCACCACCGCGTCAGCGGCGACGATCACTCCGCGGGTTTCTGTCTCATCGTCAGCTGTTGCTGTCGCCGCCGAGCCTGAGGCGGCTGCGCCCGACACAGGCATTGACGACCCTAGCTTTACGGCCTCGCTCCTGCAGCTGTTTGAGGACTACGAGGCAAACGCTCCTGCATCGGTGACCGCGGCACAAAATCCCGCCCCGCACACCGCACAGGCCCCGCCGATTGCACTGGCGGTGAGCTCTGAGGAACGACCCGAGACCCAGGCCGAGCCGGTAGCCTCGTCTCCGGCCGTGCCACTGGCGACCGCAAGCACCAAGCGGACGTGCAAGCGCAAGCTCTCCGACATTGATCCGGAGCTTGCGTCGCTCCTCCTCACTGGCGCCTGCCTCTCACCACCCGGATGGGACGCCGGGCCGTCTGGTGCCGGTATGCTCACGCCGAACCAGTCTGCGCTGGGCGGCGAGCCCGGGCAGCCAACGTCCGAGTCGGGTCTCGGCCTGCCGCCGCTCTCGGCGTCGGCGTCGACAACAGCTAGCAAGCGGCAGCGGCTCGAGCCCGAGGTGGTGATCTTTTCGGAGCAACGGCGTGCCCGGCGGACAGCGTTTGGCGAGGAGCAGCTGCGCAACCAGCGGCGGTATCTGCGGTACAAGGTCATCCGCATCCGCGAGGAGCTCGACAAGACCGTGCATCCCAACCCGAGCGGCAACTTTCGGGTTCTGGAGCGCGTGCTGACCTTGCTTGACGAGACCACGCACGACGTCAAGACCGCAGTCCTCCGTGGGCAGTGGATGGAGTGCATGGTGGCAGTCGACTGTGTGGTGCATGTGGTTGGTTCATTTTCGCGGAGCGAGCGAGTCATTGTCATTGACAACGAGTCTAACTTTCTCATCGTGCTCCCAGATGAGTTGGTGTCGGGCACCCAGGTCTCGGGCTCGTTCTACTGCATGCGGCAAAAGGTGCTCGACTCACGGATCTCGTCGCTTGCCGGCGCGTCGTCGGCCATGCTCTTTGGCTCGCTCATCCACGAGCTCTTCCAGACCGCGCTCGGTGCCAACTGCTTCGAGACAGCGTTTTTGGAGGCCACCGTTGCCAAGCTTGTCGCCAGCAACCTCTCCGAGCTGTACTTTGTCGATGAGGACGAGACGACGGCACATCAAGCACTGTGGGAGATTGTGCCGCTGATGCGGGCGTGGGTGGCCAAGCACTTGGCCAAGCCCGGAGGCGGTGGCGCCCCGCGCGGCAAGGTTCCTCCCGATGAGGCCGTTCCTTTCGATGCCCGCGGCGACGCCGGCGTCCGGGTCACCAAGCTTCTCGACATCGAGGAGAACGTGTGGTCGCCGATGTTTGGTCTCAAGGGCAAGGTCGATGTCTCGCTCGAGGCCGAGCTCTCGTTCGCCGACGGGACCATCGAGACCATGGTCATGCCGCTCGAGCTCAAGTCGGGCAAGCTCCGCGGGTCACAATACTCGTCGGACCATCGGGCGCAGGTCCTGCTCTACACGCTGCTGATGGCCGACAAGTACGCGGTCGAGGTCTCATCGGCGCTTCTGTACTACACCAAGGCCGGCAAGCTGTTTGGCGTCCCAGTCCGGCGTGGCGAAATCCAGTCGCTCGTCATCCAGCGCAACAATCTGGCGGTCTTTATGGCCGAGCGCAACTCGCGGCCTCCCATGCTGCGGTCGACGCGGACGTGTTCCCGGTGCTCACAGCTTGCAACGTGCACTCTCTATCACGCCGCGGTCGAGGGCGGCAATGCCGAGACCTCGGGCCTCGGTGAGGTGTGGGACTCTGCGGTGGCTCACCTGCCGACAGCGCACCTTGACTACTTTGCGCTGTGTGAGAAGATGCTTGCGCTGGAGGAGGGTACCGACACGTCGTCGAACGCTGAGATCTGGACCATGTCCGGCCCGGCCCGCGAGCGCAAGGGTACTGCCATCTCGTTCTTGGTGGTGCGGTCGGTCACTGTGGCCGGCTCAAACTACCTGTACACCTTTGAGGAATGGCGCCACAAGGCTGAGCACATGCCGTCGCCGCATCAGAGCACGTCCGGTGGCTCGGGCGTCCCGCTGTCGCCGTATGCCACGCGGGCTCGGGTCGTCGACGGCCTCCTCGCCTCAACCCTCAAGGAAGGCGACTACGTGGCGCTATCCACCGAGTACGGCCACATCGCTGTCGAAACTGGGTTTGTGCACGAGCTGACGCCCGAGACCATCACCCTCAAGCTCGACCGCGAGCTGCGGGTGGCGCACCTTGATGCTGGAGGCACCACGGGAGCGCCGGCGCCACCACCACCGGTCCCGCGGTCCTCGCAGGCCTACCCGTTTGCCTCGGCCGACGACAAGTCGTCGCTCCCGTCACCGCCGTCGTTCCAGTGCCGATACGAGCTGCAGACCGGGCGTGACTACGCATCGCAGCAGGTAGCATCCGCAACGCTGCCGATCCTGTACCGGGTTGACAAGGCCGAGCTCGGGCTCAACACCACCCGGCTGGCGCTGGTCTCGGCCATGTCACAAGCTTCGACCGACTGCCATCTCCGCGAACTGGTCATTGATCTCAAGCCGCCGCGGTTTGGAGACCGCGTCACCGCGCGCGCCGCCATTGCGCCGCACGTCCTCGACGGCCTCAACGACGACCAGCAAAGTGCGCTAGCGACGGTCATGGCTGCCAAGGACTACTCGCTCATTCTCGGCATGCCCGGGACCGGCAAGACAACAACGATTGCGCGGGCGGTCCAGGCGCTAGTGTCGGTCGGGAAGCGGGTGGTCATCGCGTCGTACACCCACCTCGCCGTGGACAACATCTTGCTCAAGCTCGCCGAGGCCGGAGTCCACTTTCTGAGGCTCGGCTCGTCGCGCAAGGTACATGCCGATCTGCAGGACTACACCGAGCGGGTGCAGATCGGGCGGTGTGGAAGCGTCAAGGAGGTGCAGAACATGTACGAGTCTGTGGCGGTGGTCGGTTGCACTTGCCTCGCCTTCAAGAATAAGCTCTTCTCCAAGCAGCAGTTCGACGTGTGCATTGTCGACGAGGCATCGCAGATCACCCAGCCGGGTGTGCTCGGCATTCTGCGGGTCGCCTCGTCGTTTGTGCTCGTTGGCGACCACAACCAGCTCCCGCCACTGGTGCGGTCGGAGGAGGCCGCAGAGCTGGGACTGCGGACCTCAATGTTCAAGCGGCTTTCCGAGGCCCACCCGGCCGCGGTTGCCGTCCTCACCAAACAGTACCGCATGAATGCGTCGATCATGCTCCTCGCCAACACACTCATCTACGAGCAACAGCTCGAGTGCGGGACATCACAGGTCGCCCGCGGCCGGCTCAAGCTCCCGCACTTTCCCACCGCACTGGCGCGGCCGGCGTCACGCGGGCTCTCGGCCGCAGAGGTACAGGACGTGCTCATGTCGCAAGGCCCGGCGGCGCTCTCGCAGCATTCGAGCGCCTCTGCACAGACGGCGACGGGCAGGTCGTGGCTGGCGGCGGCAGTCGATCCGGCGGCGCCGGTCGTCTTCCTCAACACCGACGGGTGCCCAGCCCCAGACACCAACGACGGCAAGGCTGTGCGGAATCACGTCGAAGCCGAGCTGGTCCACCTTGTAGCCCGCGGCCTACTGGCGTGCGGGCTCGATCCTGGCGATCTCGGCGTCATCTCGCCGTACCACGCCCAACTCAAGGTCATCCGGAGGTACCTCGCACCGGTGTCGCCGCGGGTTGAGGTGCACACTGTCGACCGGTACCAGGGCCGCGACAAAGAGTGTATCATCTTTTCGTGCGTGCGTTCCAATACAAACGGTACCATCGGCCGGCTGCTCGCCGACTCGGCCCGGATCAACGTGGCGCTCACCCGTGCCAAGAAGAAGACGGTGCTCATCGGCTCGCTTTCCACGCTCTCGTCGTCGCCGCTCTTTGCCTCGCTTTTTGCGCTGCTTCGGACCCACTCGTGGGTCGTCGACCTCGGCCGCGACGCGCACCGGCTCTTCCACGAGTGGATCCCGGTGAGCTCGTCGCCGCACGCTGGCCTCCACAGCGGCGTCGAAGATGACCACGACGACGGCTCAAGCGGTGTGCACGGACCCAGCATCGAGACAGAGCCGATGATTCTTGTCGATGCAACCGAGGACGGCGAGTAACACGCGAGCAAGCGGGCGCGCAGGGTGTACGGGCAGACGAGAGCTTTTACGTCTTGACGTCGCCGCTACCGATCCGGATAAGGAAAGGCTCGCGTGCCAGAAAGTCACGGCCGATGATGGCGGTGCGACCCAGCTTGGGACCGTCACGGACCGAGGCGCGGACAATGTGGGTGATGCCCCGGTAAGTGATGGCAACGTCGACGAGAGCGCGTCGCTCCACGCAGTCGGTGCCCATTCGGACAGCAACAGCGTCGACTGGGCTAAGATGCAGCTCTTTCGCCATCCATAATGGAATGGCCGAGAGCGTGGCCCCGGTATCAACTCGGACCTCCCGCTCGACCAACGGCGGCGGCACGTAGCCAGACGCGTGTAACGGGAGCGAGAACATCACTGACGGTGGAAGCGAGCTATCAGAGCTGTCCGCCGATGCGGTGCCCCCAGCCGGTGACGGATTAGCGAAGGAAAAGGATTCCTTGGAAGACATTAGGATGGCTTTGCCGAGATGAATGGTGTCGCCGGTACACGTGGTGAAGAGACCGAGGAGAGGGCGCGATGAAGAGGACGAACTCGACGAAAGCGAAGAGAACGACGTCGATGACGACGTCGCCGATGACGAGTACGAGTGCGAGATGCTCGTCGAGTACGAGGACGACGACCCTGACTCGTCGCCATCCACACACCAGACATCGGCAAACGAGAGGATCTTGCCGGACATGCTCTCGAGATTGGCGAGATGGCGAGCCTTGTTCGAGACGTACACATACATCGGGCGGGAGTAAAGGAAGTTGCGGCCCAGAATCGGTGTCCGCCCTAGCATCGACCCGGTGCGAACTGATGCCTCCACCTCAATGGGGTTGGCCAGCGGATGCGGGAGAAGAATGTAGATGCGGACGACGTCGCGGTACTCAACAGAGTCGTTGCCGGCACGGATCTTGACTTTTCGGTGTGGCTCGAGACCAAGTCGATCGACCAGTGACTGTGGGACCGCAGTAAGCGCAGCGCCTGTATCGACGCGAACCACCATCGCCACAGCCTTGTCCTGTGACCGATCACATCGAGTCAGGTCGGCGGCGGTTGCGCCCATGCCTACCAAGACCATTTGCGGAATCACAATGTCCCGGGTCGAGAGCCACACCCCAGGCCGCGCATGCGAGCACAACAGCGAGGAAGATGAAGACGTCGAGGAGGGGTATGATGAGGAGGAGGACGATGACGAGGAAGATGAAGATGAAGAAGACGAGGAAGAAGAGGTGGAAGAGGAGGAGTCGAGCCGTGAGGGCGATGAGGGCGATGTTGGGCGAGACTCAAGCGTCTCCTGCATCTCCATGACTGAAATCGTCAGAGTTCCGCGGCGCACACCCGATCGATGCAAGCGGACTTTAGCATCAAGGCCCGATGTCCGCGTCGATGTCCGTGCCAGCGCCGGCGAGCGAGCCAACCGAGGTGTTCGCTGCCCGCGTTCGGCATGGTGGAGACGACGATGATGGCGAGTTGAACAGTAACGCTGCCCATGACGATGGCGATGCCGATCGTGGCAATGGCGGCTCTGATGACTTGTGTCGTCTCGGCTTGGGCTCTGGCGTGGGATCTTGGCCTCCCAGGCCTCCTCCGCCTCACACTGGTGCATGATCCTGGCTCCAGCCCTCAGTGGACCATGACCAGTACAATGGCTGACTCCATCCGTAGAAACTGTTGCAGACAAAGCGGTGTGGAGTGTGCCATGAGGCATGATTGGTGCGGTGTCAAGTGTGCAAGGCTGGTGAGTATGTGAGTGGCCGCGGTTTGCCTGCCACAACTGCAACGAGCTACAGGCGGTCTCCACAGTTGCACAACACGATCACAGCCTCTCTCCCTCTCCTCCTCCGTTACCACCTCAATCAACTTTTGATATCCTTTGATCACCACCTCGATCTTCTTCTCGCCACTTCGATCTGTGTCTTGATCACGGCTGGTTCCGATGACCAGATCAAGCTGACGCCAGCAACCAGCTCGATCGATGTGATGAGCTAGGTTGGAGATGGGACAGCAACGAGCTACAGTAGGGGTTAGGATTGGGGTGAGGTGGCAACGATGAGAACATCGTTACCTGCGGTGGTCACCTCGCCTAGGAGCCGGCTGGTGGTGGGATCGATGACACGGTGGTGTGCCCCAGGTGCGAGAGGGCTGATCACCTGATGGACGGCGAGGCCGCGGGCGCAGATGGCAGACTCTACAGCGCGAGCGTGCTTGGCACAAGCCTCGACTACCAACACCTCAATGGCAACATTGGCAAGCGCATGAAGGACCTCAAGCTCGTCGCCCTCGACGTCGACCTTGACCAGATCGTAGGTGATGGGAAGGTCGGCGGCGGCAAGCCAGGCGGCGAGATCGCCGATGAGCGGGGCGGCGACGATCTCGCCAGTAGTTGCGCTGCGGGACGACTCGGCAACGAGCGGTGTCGCATCGCGCCACAGGCCCTCGCCTTGAGTCCCTACGCCTGCAGCGACGTAGGTGAGGTCGAGGTTGATACCACAGTCGGTCTCGAACACAGCGTCGATGACAGGGACAGTGACGTCGCCGTCGGCCACGATACGCGGGGCCACCCGTGCCGGAGCAGCACCGAGCGCACTGGTGATGTTGGGCAAAATGCAGCTGCCAGGCTTGGGAAGCGGCTCGATGCACACAGCGCGGCGCACGGCGTACTCGCTCGAGCGCAGGACATGGGCGGTGAAGAGTCCCACATTGGCGCCTATGTCCAGCATCGTGCCATGGAAAGCAGGTGCCGAGGTGATGGCTGGTCTGTACGCGTTGCGCATAACAATTTCCCAGTACAGAAACAGGCCCTCGTCCTCGGTCCCCTCCACAAAGCACAAATCGGCAAACGGAATCGGGCCCGTGGCGCTGGGAGGTGGATCAAACGGAGGCCGTGCTCCAGCAATGACATCAGTTGCGACGCCAACCGCAGCAGGGGAGATCATGCCGTCAACAAGGAGCGGATTGATGGCATCGAGTTGGGCACAAAGTCCCGCATTTGCACTCGGACTGAGCAGCCTGTCAGCGATAAGCTCCGGGAGCTGGGCGGCGGCATCGAGGGCGGGGACCGGGCGCCAGCGATTGAGCGAGATAGCCACGCCGATCTCGCTCACGGTATGGACCTGGTGCCACCACCGCGGCGGAACTACAAGCACGTCCCCAGGATGCAACATGAGCCAGATGCCGACCCTGTTGCTTCCTAGAGCGGTCGCCGACGACCGCAGCTCGCCCCAGATGGTGGTGTCCTCGTACACGCCCGAGCGCCGAGGACGGACGTCCGGTGAGCCAGGCGCAAGCAGAAGCCAAGCTTTGGTGCCCGACAGCTGGGCCACCACATTGAAGCCGTAGGCGTCAGCATGCAGCGGTGTACCTGCCCCGTGGGTCGATGCCCAGAGCGCCATTCCCTCGCCGCGTTCCACGCCGTCCAGCCGATCGCCCAGCACCTCGGCCACGGCATCATACTCATGGCTAGGCAGGGCGTCGAGATGAATGTAGTCAGCGTACGCCCACTTTGCCGAGTCCTCGGCGTGTGCCTCCAGCGTGCTACGGACGTGGGCCATATCCACGCCGGTCGCCCGCGCAACAGCGAGCCGTGTCGGTGGCGGATCCAGCTCACACAGGGCGAGGTTCCACTCTCGTGGCGGCCGCAGCATCGGCGTAAGCCCATCATCGTCATGTGGCAACGGCACTTTGACCCCAGTGTTGACCGATCGCGAGCCGAGAGCTTCCAGCAGCGGTCCTGTGTTCTCGAGCGGAGTCGCGCCGCCGCGAATGACGATCGGGAGTGACGGACCCAGCTCGCCACCATACGCCGACGTCCACAACTCCGATGGCGACATCCCATCTGCCACAACCTCATCCACCACACCACCGAGTGCTTGAGTCTCGGATGCGGCCGTGGTAATCGTTGCCGCCATGGCTTGCGATCAAGAGACGAGTGTGACCGCTGCCGCTCAAGCGATCGGGATAGAGGGAAGGATGGTACTCATCCAAGTTGTGCGGCAGGACATGGCTATGACTCTGCAGTGATCTGGTTGGTGTGGTGCTCTCCACTCGCGGATCGGGCCAATCGAAGGCGGCGTCGTTTGCAGACTTGGCGACGTCAGCAGCGCCAGGGCGGCCGATTCTGTCTGGCCTTGTTGCACTTGTCGGTACGCACGGTAATTGCTGACCATGGCAACGAATACAGACACTGGCGCAACCAACGCGATGGAGAGTCTCCGGCATGGTCTGGTAGTGATCAAGGCCAATAGTGGTGTGGCTTGGGAGGTGGGCGTCGGCGCTTGGGTGACGAGCGAGTCGTTTCCGGTCTGGCATTCGACGGTGATCGAGGGCTGTCCGCCGAGTGCGGCACAGGTGGACCTGCTACAGATGCAGGGGAAAGCGATAGATGTGTGGGCGAAGGAGGCTGCTGGCGACGGTGCTCTGGCGGTGATCAATGGCATGCAGTCCAACTACTATCATGGGTATCAGTTTGCTGTGGTCGATGGCATCGCTCTCCGGCCGCCAAGCTACGCAGACAAGCCGCAGTTCTCACTCGCGCCACAAGATCTTGTGGCCGGCGACATGGACCCATTCTTTTGGGTTTTTGAGACGTGCTCCACACCAGGCCTGGTGCGGGTCGAGGTCGATGCTGACGCCGGTGGAGTTGTAAGCGAGGTGAGCAGCGGACGTGTGATTGAGAGCGGGTTGACCGTAATGCCGCTGGTGGTCGACTCGGCCGACGCGAGCGACGGCATCCACCATGTTGATCCGAGGGCGGAGCGCGTCGGCCCTAACAGTGTCATGTGGCAGAAGCCGCGGTCTGCTGCGTTTTCTGTCATCGGCGTCGACAGCAGTGGCCGGGTCGTCACGTTTTGCGTGCTGGAGCCAGTGACAGTAGCCGAGCTCGTCGTGCGACTGCTCGACGCGGGCATGGAATGTGCGGGCTTGCTTGGCGGCTCGGCTGACGTGGGCCTGTGGACAGCCGACTGCGGGGTGCTGGCCGATGCCGAGGTAACTGCCCGATGGGCCGGCATCGATGGTGCGGCACGCGAGCCGCTCTCTGAGGGCGAGCTGGTGGTAGCACAGGCGGACGCAGGCTCCAAGCGGGTCGGAGAGACCAAGCGCAAGCTCAACATGGCGCTCATACTGCGGCGCACAGGTGTCACTACTCATGGCGAACGAGAATGACCGGGATTTCGCCGTCGTAGTCGGAGGCTGCGGCCGATGACGCCGCAGCCGACGGCGAGACCGAGAGCTGTGAGCGTGCGGTACGCGAGGTGGTGGAGCGCGGCGCCCGTGGCGACGGGATCACCGCTGATGTAGGCAGGCGGACAAAGTCGGCAGCGAGGGCGACGTTGGCAGACACATCCGGTGGCGGCTCAAAGTGGCGGCGAGTGCGCGAGAGGATCTTGGACGGCTTACGGGCGGCTCGCTGTGGTGAGGCATGGTGGCGGTCAGGCGAGGCGTCGACAACCAACGGTTCCTCGTAACCCGGCGGGACAACGACAGACACAATCTTAGGGGCCATGATGACCTTTGTGTGGCGCATCATTCGCTGCAGCTGAACGCGAAGGCGTTCGTCATCGGTGTGCGGCCGCAAATTCCGTGAGAATTTTGTCTGTGCCTCCCGCTCGCGCTCCTTGGCGGCCTGCTCCTTGATGCGCTTCTTGGCGGCTTGAATGACCGCATCGCGCGACCTTCGTTCATCGGCGTCGACCGCGTTGATGTTCTTGGTGTGAATGGTCCATGGTTTGGCATGCTGTGCCACAGAGTGATCTCCAGCCTTGCCATCTGTGGTACCTTTTTGCTTCTCCACCTTGTTGCCATCCGTCTGTCTCTTTCTCCTGGCAGTTCGTGCGCGGGAGGAAGAGGTCCGTCTCCTTGCCCGACGAGCAGAGGAGCGGTCTTTGGCTGAGACCGAGCCAGCCACGGCGATTGAAGTACGAACAGCGGCAGCAGCACGCGCATCGACCTCTTTCTCAGCTCGTGACGCCGCAGCACGGGCAGCAGCAGCAGATCGAGCCCTTGCCTTTGCCCTTGCCCTCGCCGCAGCATCTGCCCCAGCCCGCCACTGCTCCTCCTCTGCCTTGAGTGCACGCAGTGCACAGTAAAAGGCTCCTGACCGAGTACGCTGCTCTGCCGTGGAGGCTAGTGTCGACTTTCCTGGTCCGTGACCCTGCCCTCGGCTTCGCATGGCTGGGCGGGAAGGGCGGGGAGTTGGGAGGGGACGGTGAGCGTGGGCGTTAAGTGGTTGGCTGCCAGCGAGTGGCAGTTTGCGGGAAAGCCGGAGCGGTGGCAAGGGCCGGAGGGGAACGAGCGGATCGGAACTGATCGAGGCGGTGGGTGTTTGAAATGGTGTGTTCTAGATGGAGATCGGGTGGCGGGGTAAGCTTAGGTGGTCGTGGGTGGTCGTGGGGTGGCCATGGGAGCGACGTCATCTTCGGCCGGTGCATCACATGGACGAGGGCATGGTTGGGCAGCGGCTAGACTACGACGAGGAAGGGCTGGTGGAAAGAGCTTGCGCGACAATGCGGAGGATGGAGAGCGACTCGATGCCGGCCTGGGTGGAGGCGATGGTGGTCGAGTCGTAGCCAAGAGCACTCAGCATGCTCTGGACCTCGGGCGGATCGTTCTCGGCCAACAGTAGCAGGTAGGCGACGCCATCGGGCGCCAGCAGCGATAGCCAGTGCGGCAGAGCTTGGTCGAGAACCTCGCGCCCGCGGATGCCTCCGGCCCAGGACGCCACGATGCCGTCAGAGGCGATCTCCTCTGTTGGTGTCGGCACGTACGGCGGGTTGAACAACAGCACGTGGGCAAGCTGGCCGACCTCTGGCGCAAGATCCTGACGCGCATCAGCCTGGACACACTGGAGCGAGTCGGCTGGCAGGCCCGATGCGTCCCATGTCGTCCGCGTCGCCTCGAGAGCGACGGAGTTGACGTCGACGGCAATGTACGCCGGCGGCGCCGCAGCATCCTCGCCGATGCCCATGGCCACACCAGCCAGAACAAAGCCTGATCCCGCACCCAGTTCTAAAACTGTCAGCGGAGCGCCAGGCGGAGGCAGATAGCTCGCCACGTCGGCGAGGACGCTGTCGAGGAGCAGGAAAGAGTCCTCCGAAGGCGGATACACGTTCTCCTTGAATGACGAGTTGGTGAAGAGATGCGAGTACTCGGGCTCCACCCCGCCTGTCACACTCCTGCCTACTCTCTCGTCGGTCATTAGCGGTGAGTGGGTCGAGTGGTCTGGTTGGCCTGCCCTCGCTCTCGCGCTCGCACTCGCCCTCGCCGTCGTTCCATCGGATGTGAGTGAGTCGTCGGTCAACCGGGCGGGTGTCCGTCACCCTCAGTCACCCGAGCGGAAGACGCAGCCACACATCCACTCATCGACCATAGCCATCAACTAGGTAATGGTGGCTGTGTGTTGATCAGATAAGATCGGGACGTGTTGGGAGTCTGGGTAAGGTGGTGGCGGTATCCACGTACCTACCCCCCTACCCCCCCCCCCCCGCCGCCCGCCAGCGGAAGTGTCAGTGGAAGGCACAGGCACTAGCCATGTTCCACCCCGTCACCCACCCCACTCTGTCTCCCCCACCCCCACCCCCACAAGTCGTTCCCCCTCATCGCCGTGATGGCGCGTACTCCAGAGGAAGTGTATGTTGTCGAATAAGAGAGGGAGGGAGAGGGTGGGGGGTGGAGGGGAGGTGGGGGGAAGCGGGTGACCTGACACAGGTCGCTCATGGTGGCATGATGTTCATGAACGATGGCATAGTCATAGAGAAGGGATAGGAAGGGGGGGGGAGAGAGAGAGAGAGAGAGAGAGAGAGAGAGAGAGAGGAGAGAGGCATACTTACTGGTGAGAGGCTATGATATGTATGTGTGTATGTATGTATGTATGGCGGGGGGTTGTGGCTGGCTGGCTGGCTGGCGGAGGGGAATAGGCGGGAGTACGCAAAGCAACTCGTGCTTCGATTTAATGGACAGCTGCTGGAAGGGTGTGAGGATGAGGCCTGTCGCAATCCAGAGTGTGCGAGGAATGCTGCAGAGCCATACTCGCCCAATACAGCCTTTACTACGGCTCTTGATATGGCTAGGCGTCCCGAGCCGGAGCAGTTCCTCTGCCCAGAGTACAATGCCGCCCATCCATCGCCGGGGAAGGAAGAGGTTGATGAAGAAGAAGACGAGGCAGAAGAGGCTGGACTCTCGCTGATGGAGCGGATGGCCACTGGAGAGCCGCTGGAAATCGATTTGGATACCAGCCCGATGTTGGCCTCGCTGGCGCCGCTGCTGGCACCGCATGAGGACGACGGCGCGCCCGAGGTTGTTGATCCCACCCCGGGCTCCGACTCGGCAGCTATTGTCTCGCGGACCGTTGTTCTTCACCGTCAAGAGGTCAAGCCGGAAGAACTGTCGCTGACGCTGGAGAGCCTGCGCGAGTCGCTTGCGGCGGCAGCGGCGGCCGGTGAGTACACCCAGCTCATCCGCCGGCTGCGGCAGGTGTTTGGCTCGACAAGCTTGCTGGGCGCGGCCTTTCTTGCCCCCGGGACAGACAACGCCAACGCTGACGAGTGGGGCACGGTGCTCGATGAAGTGACGGCGGCGTACGAAGCGTTGTACGCGGTGGACGAGCCGATGGTGGCGACGGCGGTGCGGCAGGCGGCCGAGTACCTGATGATCGACCAGGCGGTGGCGGCACCGATGCTGCGATCACACATCGAGCTGCGTCAGTTTGTGATTGTCCTGCTCAACCCGTACCTGCTCGACGAGGATGCAGCGAACTTGCTGCGCAAGACCGCGCTTGCCGTGGCATCACTGTCCGACGCCCTCAAGCAGGTCCTCGTCCGCTGGTTCGCCGCCTGGCCACGTCGCCACCTCTCGAACCTGGTAGCCACGCTCCAGTCATTTGTCCTCCTTCGCTCGGTCTCGGTCCCCTCGCTCAACCCGCACACTGACGTGCCGATTATCTCGGTGGTCAAGATTCTCGCGCTCACCCACGCGGGCAACGAGCGGCGGGCGAACGCGTGGCGCGAGGCCCGGCTTGGTGAGCTTAGCGACGACGCCGCTCCCCTGCCACTCACCGACTTTTACAACGACACCGTCAACGGGCATGACTTTCTGGATCTGGTGCAGGACTACGAGACGTGGATTAACTCGTCGGGCGGTGAGTTCTCGTTTTGCGCCTACCCGTTCCTCCTCGACGCCGCCACCAAGGCTGACATTGTCTTTCTCGAGTCGGAGCTCCAAATGCGGCAGGAGGGCCGCCGCGCCATGATCCAGTCGATTTTGTCGGGCCCGGTCTCGCCCTATCTGGTCCTGTGTCCGGCGCGACAACATCATCGAGGACACGCTCAACCAGCTGGCGCGGTACCCAAACGACATGAAGAAGGAGATGAAGGTCAAGTTTGTTGGCGAGGAAGGCGTCGACGAAGGCGGCGTCCGCAAGGAGTTCTTCCAGGTCATCGTCCGCGAGCTCTTTGACGCCCGGTTCGGCATGTTTGCCTTTGACGAGGAGACCGGCTCGTACTACTTTAACCCGGCCAGCCTCGAGGGGGAGCGCGAGTTCAAGCTCTGCGGCATCGTCCTTGGCCTCGCCATCTACAACAAGGTCATCATCGACATGCACTTTCCACGGGTCGTCTACAACCGGCTCTGCGGGCTCACTCCAAACCTCGCAGACCTCATCGACGCCATGCCAGCCGTCGGGCGCAACCTCAAGTACATCCGCGACGAGTTTGACGGCGACTACGCCGACCTCGCACTGTTCTTCGAGTACGAGTATGACAACTTTGGCCAGGTCGTCACCGTCGAGCTCTGTGATGGCGGCTCGGAGCGGGCGGTGACCGCCGACAACGTCGCCGAGTACGTCGATCGCTACGTCCGGTACGTTCTCGTCGATGCGGTCGAGGCCCAGTTTGGCGCCTTTGCCGAAGGCTTCCGCTCGGTCGTCGGCTCGGATGCGCCGCATGCCGCCGTCTCGCTCTTTGCGCCGTCAGAGCTCGAGCTCCTCATCTGTGGCTCGGAAGAGCTCGACTTTACCGCTCTCGAGGAGGTGACTCGCTACGAGGGCTTTGACGACAATGACCCGACGGTCCGCGCCTTTTGGGAAGTTGTCCACGAGTTTGACGTCGAGATGAAGAAGAAGCTCCTGTTCTTCACCACCGGCTCGGACCGGGTGCCCATCAAAGGCCTCAAGGCGCTCAACTTTGTCGTCATGCGCGCTGGTGGCGACTCGGATCGGCTGCCGACCTCGCACACTTGCTACAACACCATCCTCCTTCCGCCGTACGAGTCCAAGGACAAGCTCCGTACCCTGCTCATCAAGGCCCTCTCAAACGCCGAGGGCTTTGGCATGCTCTGAGCCCCGTCGCCGGCCTCACCGCTCCGACTCGCGCATCTCGGCATCGTACTCTTCAGGGCTCAGCCGGCCGTCCCACAGCCCACCGATGTCGTACTCGGCGTCGGCAGCCTCAGTCATAAAGTGAATGAGCACTTCGCCAGTGTCCAGGACCCACCAGTCTCCGCGCGAGCCCGGTCGTTGCAGGAGCGCCGTCCCAACCTGCGGGTACGGCCGCCGCTTGAGCTGCGCGTGCGCCGAGCGGGCCAGCGCCGCCACGTGCCGCTTCGACTTGCCCACCGTCACCACTAGATGCTCGACAACATCCAGCGAGTCACCGACATCAAAGACTTGCACCTTGCCGCCAGCCTCGTCCAGCATCGCCGCCACCGCATCGACCGGCAGCCGAAGGCTCTCTAGCGCCTCTTCCAGCCGCCCGCTTGTCTTGGCTTCATCCAGCGCCGCAGCCTGTTCCGCAAGTACCTGGTCCAGCGCAGCAGCCGCAGAGCCCCTCACTGCCTTGCCCCTTGTCGCCTCGTCCGCTCCTGCCTCATGGCCAGCCTCCACATCGGCCACGTCCTCGGTCAGCGCCTCGGCCTCCAGCAGCTCCTTGAGCCCCTCGAGCGGGTTGCGGCCGCTCGGGCCCTTGTCCAGTCTCCAGGCAGCAGCCATCAACCCCCGCCCGCATGTCGTCTGCACCGTCCTCTGCCAGAGCCGAAGCATGGTGTGGAAGTGGAGTCGAGTGAGCGAGCGGGAGGCGTAGCGGAGGCTGTGCCGCGTCGGGTTGGGTTGGACCGCGGGCTGACCACTCACCACCACCTGTCATCCCTGGGCATGCATAACACAGTAGTTTTGAGCCCGATTCTAACCCAATAGCACAATCACATCAATTGGCAGTGATCTGTGAAGTTTGATATGTATCTGTGCTGGTGAGGGCGGGCACAAGGCAGAGTCCGATCCCTTGACTTTGAACAAGCAGCGGACATCTTTGATCTCTCCTTGCAAGCAGAACACAGCATTTCCGATAGCTATTTCCGACGCAATAGTACATCCACATCATGTAGAAGTCATGTGTGAAGTTTGGCATGTATGCGTGATGCTGGTTGCCTGTACAAGGCAATCGCCCAACGCGACCAGCCACTTCCCGCAACACGCCACCCGAGCCAGGGGACACGATCGTACACACTCGACTATTGCCCTCCTTCCCGCCCTTCCTCCTGAGCCATGTCACGAACGACGGCAGCTGTGAACCTTCAGGTACTCCAACGAGCTGATCCTGGAGTTGTATCAGTTCTTGGTAGCGCCTCTCATGTTGCAATCTATGACTATGATGAGGATGAGGGAGCATGGGAGCGTGCTGGTATCGAGGGCTCGCTCTTTCTGGTTAGTCGCTCCTCTGCGCCCTTTGCCACAATGGTGGTCATCAACAAAAAGTCGCCGACCAACCTGAGCCAGCCGCTCTTCCCGGGCATGGAAGTGCAGTTCTCCGAGCCGTATGTACTCTACCGGACAGAGGAGGACGACATTTACGGTATGTGGTTTGCAGACGCTACAGAGCGTGACCAGCTCCTCCATGTCATCCATTCTTGCCTCGAACAAATCTCCGCCAACGCTCCCGCCACCGCCGCCGCCACCGCCTCGCCAGCTCCCGCCCTCGCTCCCGCTGCCCACAACCCGCAGGCCGTCATGTACAATGCCCAGGCTCTGCAGCTGCAGCAGCAGCAGCAGCAGTATGCCCAGATGCAGGCCCACGCCCACGCCCAAGCCCAGGCCCGTGCTCAGGCTCAGGCCCAAGCCCAGGCTCAGGCCCATGCCCAAGCCCAGGCCCAGGCTCAGGCTCAGGCTCAGGCCCAGGCTCAGGCTCAGGCTCAGGCTCAGGCCCAGGCTCAGGCTCGCGCTCAGGCACAGGCACAAGCACAAGCACAGGCCCAAGCGATGCGGATGCAGAGCCAGGCGCACGCTGCGCCGATGTCCGCTGCTGCATTGGAGGCGCAGATGCAGCAGTACAACGCCATGCTCAAGATGCAGGCTAGCGGCACAGCTGGTGCTGCGGCTGGCGCTACAGGAGGATATGGTGGCCCTGATGGCAGTGCGCAGCCGCCGCAGGCTGCAGGATGGACGCCGGTGGCAGTGACAGACCTCTTTGCCGCCGCTGGCTCGCTGCAGACGGCACCGGTGCCCAAGACGCCAATCTCGGCGCCACCGCTCGGCACCGCTGCCGCTGCGCCGGCCTTCCCGCCCGAGCCGATCCCGGAGCCGGCGAGCATCAGCAAGTTTGAGATGCTCTCGCTGCTGCAAAAGGGGGCGACGGCGGCGTCAGGCGACGGCTCGACGTCGATCTCAGGCCTCGCCGCCAAGCAGGCCGCCAACCCGGTCGCTTTTGCGCCCGGCAGCCAAGCCGCCACGCCCGTCGTCGCTGGCCTCACCCGCGACCAGCTTCGTGACGCACTCATCCGCCTCGTCAACAACGCCTCGTTCCTCGACATGCTTTACAACGACTACCTCCGCTCGACGTCGTCAGCATGACCATCGACCCATGGCTCCCCTTAGATCCGGGAGATAAACCTTTCGGTGCTGGTGTCCTAGCCACCCCCCCCCCACATTTACCCGAATGCCAGTCCTACGCTTCAGGCACATCTCTCGCTCTGCCAGCATCGTCATGGTCGTATTCGTCGTCATCATGTCGTCGACCCAACTCCCCAACTCCGCCACCTGGAACCAGGCAGACCCTTGCCCTTGTCCCACGCCACACCTAACTACAGGGATTATGGCCGCGACACCGCCTCCGACTTCTGAAGAGCTCACCCGTAAGTACACACATTCCCCACGGCTTCCAGCGACATATGACCATACCATATGACCATGTCCATCAGATGTTCTTGAATGACCATACCATACTGTGTCATCACCGGCCGCGAGGTTGGATGGAGCTGTGATGGATCTTCCACGTGAGGAACACAGCTTGGGGGGGGGGGGGGGGGGGGGGGGGGGGCTACTATGGGCATGAAATCATGTCCAAACCAGATAGAATGGATGGATATGGGATGGAATAGGGCGTAGGGCAGGTGTGCCTGGAAAGTGGTCGGTAGGTGGGCTTGTGCCCCCCCACTCCACTTCGCCCGCACACTTCTTGTCTCTGTCGCGTAGTTTACGATTCTTTATCATGTGTGGAATTGGGCAGATGATGGTATGGGTGATGATGGTATGGGTGATGATGGTATGGGTGATGGGTGATGATGGTATGGTGGAGATGCTGATCTTGACTGTTATCAATGTCATGTGGGGGACTCACATGCCTTAGGCGACGGGGATGATGCAGAGGCTGCTAATGCGGCTGACGGGACACAGGTCGAGGGCAACGGGGCCGCGGCCGAGGAGCCCAAGAAGAAGAAGAAGAAGAAGAAGAAGAAGAAGAAGGGTCTGCCTGGCGATCTGATCGGGGGCAATGCCGAGTATGTGGCGGCACAGCGTGCAAAGCAGACGGATCCGCCGACCAAGCCGGTGAGGCGCCTGTTCAAGAACGCCGCGCTTTTCCCGGCGGGCGAGCTGATGCAGTACGAGGACAACGGAGTGCGGTACTCGTCGGCGGAGAAGCGGGCTGAGGAGCGGGCGACTCGTGAGTGGATCGACAACTGGCGTCTTGGCGCCGAGGTCCATCGCCAGGTCCGCGCCCATGCGCAGAAGCACATCCGCCCGGGCATGCTGCTGCGCGAGATCGCCGAGCTCGTTGAGAACACGGCGCGGGTGCTCATTGATGAGAACGGGCTGGAGGCTGGGCTTGGCTTCCCGTGCGGCGTGTCGGTCAACAACTGCGCGGCACACTACACGCCGAACCCGGATGATGAGGACATTGCGCTGCAGAGCGGCGACGTGCTCAAGGTGGACTTTGGCGTCCACTACCAGGGCGCGATTGTGGACTCGGCCTGGACATGGTGCGACGACCCGGTCAAGCAGCCGCTTCTCGACGCGGTCCGCGCTGCAACCGAGGCCGGCATCAAGGCTGCAGGCATTGACGTCCGCCTTGTTGACGTCGGCGCCGCCATCGAGGAGGTGATGACCTCGTACGAGGTCGAGATCGACGGTGAGGTCTACCCGGTGCAGCCGGTCAACAACCTGTTTGGCCACTCGATCGAGCCGTACATCATCCATGCTGGCCACTCGGTGCCCATCATTGCCAACCAGACCGGCGTCACCGGGCGCATGGAGGAGAACATGACGTACGCCATCGAGACCTTCGGCTCTATCGCCGGCCGTGCCCATGTTGTCGAGAATGGTGACTCGTCGCACTTTATGCTCGAGCCGCATGCGCGCGGCCGCATCGGCCTCAAGTCGGCCCAGCAGCTCCTCAACTTTATCAAGCGTACCTTCAACACGCTGCCGTTCTGCCGCCGCTGGCTCCACCGCGCTGGTCAGACACGCCATGCCGGCGCCCTCTCCTACCTCGTCAAGAACGGCTTTATCTCCTCCCATCCGCCGCTCCTCGACTCTGCCGGCTCGCTCGTTGCCCAGTACGAGCACACCATCCTCCTCAAGCCGACCTGCAAGGAGGTTGTTTCTCGCGGTGATGACTACTAAACTCAAACTCGATTCCCTCTACGCTAACCCACCATCCACACCAAGCTGAGCTAATCGTTCATCGCTCGCCTCCCCATCGACTCTCGCCGGCCGCCCAGCGCGCCCGCCGTCCGCCGTTGCCCGGGCCCCTTGCACCCGCACCGCACCGCTCTCCGCCCCACCCCTTCCACACACAAACACACACACACACACACACACACACACACACACACACACACAGCAGATGTCATATAGTCCATGCGATAGCGCCACTGTCTCCACCCCGCCGTCATGGTCTGTGGCCGGTGACGGTCGGTCTACGTCCCCCCCACCTGCTGCCACTTCGTCAGGAGGCGCCAGTCCACGGAGCTTCAACAGAGCCACAAGCCAGTGTGAGAGTCAGGCACCGCGTGCAGATGTTGATGTCCGTACCAATGCCAGAGCAGCTTTCAGGGCCAGTGCCATGGCCACGATGAGTAAGGAGACCGCATCGGGAGGATTCGTGGCTGTCTCATCATCATCGCCTTCTGCGTCGTCATCGCAAGATGTCTCGCCAGATTTGGAGGCATCGCCGCAGCCATCGTGGTCGTTGCAGCCCTCGGATGAGCTTGATGATGCTGGTGGTCATGGTCATGGTCATGGTCATGGTCATGATTACGATGATGGAGTTATGCCGGTCATTACAACTACTGCCGCCAGTGCGGCTGATCTCCAGGCGGCGATGGGCAATGCGTCGCCTGGGCCGCTGTCGGCGGGTGACTTGCGCGGCGCGGGGGAGACGAGGAAGCCGGACACTTTGCATCCGAGGAGGTCAGCAGCAAGAGGCACTCGGCGAGGTCATCGATCTCGCCGCAAGCACCGTCATGAAAGCAGAGGGCCGGTTCCTGCGCCACGCCCTCTGCCGTGGCCGCGGGCAGCACCGGCGGAAGAGGACAATGACGAGAGAACCACCCGCAGGGCCCGCCGCATGGAGCGTGCGGTTGCTGATGCCGCGCGCGAGGCGGATGCGACTGCGCAGGCCCGTGCTCTGCCAGCCACAGTCACCCCACTCGGCAGGCTGCCGGCAGGGCGAGCACGCCGCAAGCGCGGGGGCCCGGTGCTCGAGCCAGAGGCCCGCGGCCTGCTGGAGACATATCTTGGAACGGGCATCCGCGATCCGGAGCTGGATGTCATGGCCGAACAGCTGGCAGCGTTTGACCGCAAGCTGGCCCGGCTGGCAGCAACTCGAGCATCGGTCCTTGGCGCCTTCTCCAAAGGCGTTGCGTCGCTCACGGCGCACGACTCGGGCTTCCGCCCGTCGCGGGCGTATTCCGCGGCACGGCAGGTTCGCGATGGCGACGGCAGCTCGGCCCTGCCGAGCTCAGCTGGCTCGCGACTGCGGCTTGTCGACGCCCTCTCGTCTGACTCGTACTACTCGGAGCCTTTGTGGTCGGACGAGCCGGTGTGGTCCGGCTCGTGCGACTCGTCCGACTACGGCGCGTGGCTCGAGGCCCGACGAGAACGCGAGGTTCTGAGCAAACGCCGCCGGCGCCGGCGAACCAGCCACGGTGGTCGCGTGCGGGAAGCCGCTGCTGCCGACCCGGCCACCCGGCGGGCACATCTGCGGCGGTCGTTGGCTGCTGCGCGAAAGCGGCGATCGCCGGCGTCGCCAGCCGGTCGCGGCCGTCGCCTTCCCCGCTTCCCGCGGCATGTCAAGCTTCCGGCGTCGGTCCTAGCGTCGGCAGGCATTTGTCGGTCCGACTCGTGCACCAACTCGGGTTCCGCCACCGACGACGCTGCAGCGCTACTCTCGCCGATGGAGGCGAGACGCGCGGCCAACCGCAAGACACGCCGCGCCCGCCGCGCCAAGGTCCTCGCCAAGGTCGACGCCTTTCTCGACGCTGACTCGTCGTCGTCGTCGGGCATTCACGGCCTGCTTGACGAGCACCTTACTCTTGCCCAGATCCGGGACATTGCCGATGGCGGGCCGCGGGCCCACCGCGCTGTTGTCGCCGCTCGCAGCCACCAGCGCATTCCGCGTCCGCATCCATCCCACGCTCAGATGCGGGCCTGGGCCGACTCAGATTCGTCGTAAGTCTGGGACAATGGCGACCTGATCGATGGACGAGAGCGGATCATTGAGAATGGCGAGGAGAAGGGCGTGGAGGAAGGGAACGACATGACCACGACGGGCGTCGACCAAGGGAAGGAAGGCCTTGGCCACAGCACCGGTAAAGGGGAACATACGCGTCCCGAGCCCGGCAATGGGCACCACGGCCTTGCGCAGACGGGGGCTTTCCATGGCGAGGAGGTAGAGGG